GCCTTTGATGGTTGTGTCGGCATGTGTGAATGGTGTGTGCTAGAGGAAGAGTTGCATATAGTGTGTGTGTGTGTGTGAGTGAGTGAGTGAGTGAGTGGATTAATGGGACCTGTTAGTCTTCGCTATTGTTAGTAACTTGTGAACAATATGCAAATGTATATAGAGAGATTCATTTGTAGATTAATTTTTAATTTGACAAAATGCCACCCAAAATTATAATATTCAGTTATTTCACCATCTCTTTTAAATGAGGGATCTATTGGGTAAAATAGTGGCTCATCCCTCTTGGTTTACACCCACATTCTTACACCACCATTGTAAAACCCTGCTGTGTGTCTATCAGAGAACAGCCCCCATGGATCTCCTGATACTGACAACTGAGCTGGAATGAATAAATTAGTTAAAATTAGAATTGATTGACTGGAGCCTGAACTTGCTTGGGATTTTTTTTATCTATCTCTGTTTATATGTTTTCCCAGATGTATGTTTCTGCAGTGTTTGGGAACCAATTAGACCACAGTCTCAGTCTCATTGATTTTCCAGCCAATAGCAATGAAGCAGTGCTGTGAGGGGATATCGAACAATCTCGTCTCAGCTCAGGTTTGCTTGCTGCTGTTTAGGTGAATTCCTTTACTCAAATTGGCTCAAACACTTCATAGTGCCTGAGTGGTGCGTGAGGGTCTGTTGAGGGTCAGGGGGAAAAAAACATGACTCTTTTCCTCAACATCTGTCATAGCATGTACCCTTAAACAAGGTAATGAACCTCCAAGCTGTTCCATGTGTGATCAGCAGACCTAGAGGTTAAACACAGCCTGTGATTTTCTATGTTAAAACAAGGAATCATAAACAGACTCAGGTCTCAGCAGAACATAGATATGACATGCAGAAGTTTTCATATGGATAAATTCAAACAAACTTCCTCGCCTAGCGTCTCACGCCCTCACACCATTATTTTTCTTCTTCACATCCCTCCACCTTGCATCAGTATTCACTGCAGCATAAAGTGTGAGAAAAAAGAGGAGAGAAGAGAAAAGAATGGAAATAATAGGAAGAGGAGAGAAGGTTGGATTACGGGATGGAGATGGGACAAAAAGAGAAGGGAGAGAGTGGAGCAGACGGTGATATCGAGCAAGTCTTGTCAAACAAAAAGAGAAAGAAGAAGGGAAAGGTCTATACAGTATGTGTTGTGAAAGAAAGCAGGGTGGAGAGAACATTTGGAGAAGGGAAAAGAAGAGAAGAAGAGATGGATGAAGGGATGTAGATAGAAATGGACTGCTCGAAATCAAAGAGTAAAGCAAACAGCCGTCACAAACAGGCAGATTTAGAACAATGGTTTGTTTAAATGATGCTCAGCAATGTAGATTCTGCTGTATACATTGAAACTCCCTCGGTCAGAACAATGAAACATAGTTGATCTGATTTTGCTGACATATCAGTTTCCCTGATATTGTTTGGTGATCATCACCACAGTGCCTTGACAGTTTGAAAATTAAAGGGCAATGGAGGTCTATGGCCCCATGTTCAAGACTTGCCTTTTCACGTATGCATTCAAGGCTGGACAAGGAACAGCATTCTTGTATTATTCTTTAATCACACACATACACAAACACCGGTAACCCTCTACCTGACATAACGAAGAAATGAGCTCTCGGGGGGGAGAAGATTTTATGAGTTACGCCTTGTAAAGCGTGCAGTGGTGAAATCCTTCCCTGCAGGCTCTTACTGATGTGATGGGCTCTTTTATTGGGGTCAGGAGAGGGCGTAGCACCTAATGGTGTGTGTGTGTGTGTGTGTCTGTGTGTGTGTGTGTGTGTGTAGAGGTATGGGATTGTTTTCAACACAAGCTCTTGACCTGCCAGTGAAGCTTAGTGTCTGAGATTTCTTGGGTCACAGAGGTCACTGGTTTATTGTATTCCAGGGGAATCTCAGTTTATCTCAAGTCTTCATCGATAGACCCACTTTTATATTTACACACGTGTAATTATCTCCATCTGACAAAGGCTTCAACACAAACACTCTCATGCACACTCACCCACTCATACAATTTATTGAATCAACTCTCCTAAATGGCCCATAGCCATTAAATGATGCAACCAAAGGAAAGACTGTTAATGTGTTCTGTGAGAGAGAAAGAGAGAGAAATATAAATATAAACAGCAACACAATAAGAGCTATTAGTATGATATTTGTCTTTGTGCTCTTTACTTGGCAGTATATTACCAGTAGGCTTTTATGCTTTTTTCAATAATCATTTTATGTGAGTTCATTCAGGATGACATGACCTTGTTCAGGTTGCCTTTGGTTCTTTGCCCCAGGGAGATAAAATAATCAGTAGCAAATAAGTTGTACCAAATAGGACAGAGATTTTGGTTTATTGTTTTATATACATACTTAGATGTTTATGTTATCTAGAAGCACAGTTAAATAGTGGAGGTGGTAAATAATCCAATATACTGTAGAAATAAAATACAACTCAGAGTTTTCAGTATATTTGTAGCATTTGACAGACATTACATAATCCATAGACATTTATTTTTCATCATCTTTCTTCCTTTCCCACATTTTTATTTGTGATCACATCCCTGTTGGCAGCTGATAGATCTGTATGTAAATAAACATATACTAACAGTCCTTGTTCATCCTGTGAATCTTCTATCTCGGAGCGCAGCAGGGTTTGGAGTGTTTTGGGATTACTGTATGATTCGTAATCCCCTGGTGGTGTTTAAATGGAAGCGCATGTGTGGAATCACACTTCAGACGATGATTCATCTGTGCTAACAAGCACAAAAAGAAAAAAAGATCTCTCCTCCTCTCTCTCCTCCTCTCTTAGGAGCCACATAAACACAGTGGTCCTTTCATCAAACCTGCTCCTCTGTGCCTTGTGAAATAAATCCCGACATTGTTAAGGTAGCACATGGTTTGAAACTCAATAAACTAATAAAAATAGATTTCACAGACTTTTTTTAGTATGACCCTGATGCCCAATGCTGTCGAATTAACACACAATTAGTAATGTCATGTATTGTAAGTGAGATTTTCTTGCTAGTTCTTAATCTCTTACTACTGTAGATGTGAATTTTAGTCTATCTATTTATCCCTCCATCTTTTTTTCCTCTATACCACACTTATCCTTTATCTATCCCAGAATACAATGGGAAATGCAGGGCACATACAGATACCCTCATTTAAAGTTTGGCTTGTGGTCATTTCAAGGACTGAGGACCACAACTTCTCTCCAAATGAGACTCAGAGTCTCACCAAGGCCAAAACTAATGATGGAGTTTCTGTGAAGTCATAATATCAAGAATGTAAGGATGAGAAACAGCAAATGTTCTGCCTGTCAGTCTGTACGTTCTATACTGTCAGACGCTTTGGTGTTTGTGAGACATTCAGCCCTTCACTTCAGTTGTGCTTTAAGCTCTCTATCAAGAAAACTTCTTTACATTTTGTGCTGTCAGTTTTCAAAGCTGTACCTAATTTACCATGAACCTCCACTGAAACAGATTTCACACTATGGCCATCATTCATGTTACAGAGGAAACTAAAGAACCTGAGCTGGTTGCATTCTTGTCTTTACATTTTACATAACTAAATATGCTTTCAGGGCTTTGATCCAGCTTGTTTTTTTATGTACATTCCCCTGATCACTCTCATAGATTACCACTTATAGTTTGGCCTGTGGTGATGCTAGTTACAGCTTTCTTTCTGACACTGTAAAAGTGACCTGAAGTAATTGAGCTCAAGCGGGTAAAGACCAGCTGCTCGACTCAGACACAAAGAGCGGTTCACCTGTTTATTCAAAGTTCAGTGAAGCTCAACTCAGTACGCAGAACAGCAAACTGGGGGATCAGTTATCGCTGCAAAAGTGTAAAGGGAAATTGAGGATGACAGAGAGCAAGTCTTCAAAACAGAGCATAACTCTTAAAAGTAAATAGACTCAGACATTTTATTACTATCCCCATACACTTTAGAATCCATCCAGTGTCCCAGTGTAACTATCAAATATATTTGATGATCAGGGCGGCTCAGATCGGTCCCCGAGACAGTTGCAGTAAAGACTGGATCATAAATCGCTCAGAGTACTGGACACTCTGTGCCAATCATTTACTTCACCTAAGCCATACTTTGAATTGTCAGAGGGTAAAAGCTGTTGTAAATCTTCTGGATAATGCTGGGGCACCTGTCAGATGGACTGAATCAGGGATACAGGCAGTGAGAGATCAAATGGGTGTCAAAGATAAGCTTATGCAGCAATGAGAGGGAGAGAAAGAGAGAGAGAGAGATAATAAACTACTGGAAAATACTTCAAACTTTAACGCATCTTTAACTGACAGGGAAAAAGAGTTGTTTATGTGTTGAAATGTTCCGTAGCGCACTCAGATGTGATGACGCAGCGTTTTGCTTCCTCCAATATCAAAGAAAACAACAGCAGCTGTCAGGCGGTAAATTGTGGCTGCTAACACTTTGTGACAGGAGTGGGAGGAAGGGAAGAGGAGGAGAAAGGGCTAAAACAGGATTCCTGCACTTCAGGCTTTTGATGTGTGGCAGTGAGCTGAAGGTAGAGAGAGAGGATGGGTGAGGAGAGGGAGAGGAGGGGATTTAGGATAGAGGCAGAGAGAGATAACGAAAGAATGACGGGTGTTAGGAGATGGGAGGAGGGAGGGAGACGCACTTTGTGTGAATAAGTTGATGAGAGAGAAAGAGTGTGTACGTACTTGTGTAAGATGTATAAAGCTGAATGTTGTGGATCTTTGGGGGTCTTGTCACAGGTAATGTGCAGATAGGTTCAAATGCCTTCAAGCAACAATCCTGTAGAAATATCAAGTTTCAAGATGGGACTGTTTCCTCCGAAAAAAACACATTTCATCCCAAAGTGAGGAAGAAATGGATTACCAGCACGACCACCAGTGTGTTTCCTGTTCCCCGTTGACTACAGTCTTATGTTACTGATTTCTAAAGTATCAGAGCAGAAATCAAAGTTTCTATTTTCTTACCTTCAGGTGAAAGTGATGGTGAGGGTGTGCCCGGTGTCGCAGTTGGATGCAGCCGAGTCCAGCTCTTTCCTCAAAGTGGACCCCAGGAAGAAACAAATCACCATAATGGACCCGGGAGCCAATCAGACGCCAATCGCTGCTTCCCAAAAAAGAGCGGCAGCCAATCAGGTCCCGCCAAAGATGTTCACGTTTGATGCTGCATTCCCTCCTGATGCATCACAGGTAAGAGATAAGATTTTAAAAAAAGGCATTGGAGAGAAGACTGAGACCATGCTTATTATGAACAGGCTGCACAAGCTGATATGTAACCATACAGCTCCCTTTCATCTGCTTTGTATGTATTTCTAGATATTATAAGCTGGGTTATAAAAACTTCCCTCGCACTTGCATAGTTTTTAATGTTATAAAGATATTACATGCTGTGATAGAGTTATTAACAAGATAAACGTGGTACTTATAATGAGTAGTCTACAAATATGCCAGTCAGAATTGATTTCAGGACACTTGGTTTGGATGTGGGAAAGATGATGGGTACCTACTGTCTCTGCCTGTAGTTTAAGAGATAACTTGGTGTTTCGAGAGTTATTCTCTACTTGGCTACTTCACCTTACCTTCGATTATGAGGAAATGTGTAATTCCGGGCACTTTACAGAATAGTGTTATCCATTATGGTCTTAAAAAGTCTTAAATTGATGCCTGCATAAACCTTGCGTGACTCAAATGTAAAGATCTTTCATGGTACAGAATGAGTAGAGTCAGTATCTCACTGCTGCCATCAGATTTTTAAATGGCTGAGGCGAAAACCATTGCACCAGTTCTCAAATGGATCATAGATGTTTTATTGACCCTCTCCCTACCCGTCACTTAATTTCTCTCTTTCTCTCTATCTGCCTGTTGCTAGGCTGAGGTGTGTGCGGGAACGGTTGCCGAGGTGATCCAGTCGGTGGTGAATGGAGCAGATGGCTGTGTCTTCTGCTTTGGACACTCAAAGCTGGGTAACGCTCGCACACACACATGCACACGGGCTGGGAACATCGGAGCATGTGCAGCTTGTGAATCATCTTCAGCGTGTCTGTCTGACCGCCAGTGTTGTCAGTCTTTCACTTGGCTGTCTCTCCGCTGGCCCTCGTCTATCAGAGAGAGAAAGAGGAGGATTAGTGTCTGCTGAAGCTGAAAGCATTCTCACTCCGCTCTGTCTGTGTTTCTGTCTTCTTCTCGCTCTCTCACTAATCCCTCTGAAGCTGGGTTTTTAGAGAAGCTGTCTTAAAAAGGGTCAGGACCTCTCGCTTCTCACTGCAACACGTCTGAACCCATACACATGCAGTGACACAAAAACCCACCACACACACATTAGCACCGACATGTTCTTCAACCTCTGTTGTGTTTATCCCTGTACATTCAAACAGCATTATCCTGCTCAGCGTGTGATCTCCATATATCCAGTTGGGAGTTTCCAAGTCCCCTTGAACTGCTGGCAGAGATTTAAAATGCTGCAGTTCAACAGGGAGCTCTGTTTTTCCTGGATCAAACAGTCATGACGGTTTATGTGTAAACCAACATGCAAGCTGCCGTTTCAGTGAGTTTGTTCTTGGCCAAATCTGCAAAGTAATCAAATGTATAAATGTGTAGTAGCTTTGGTCAATCTCATGAGCCTGTGCTCAGTTAGAGGTGATTATTGTATTTTTGGTGTCATTTCCATTGGTTATGATAACATTTAAGTCATGAGAGTACATTTTTAGCTTTGCACCACACTTTTCAAGCACTCAACTCAGCTCTTTACATTACAAGCCACATTCATCCATTCACACACACATTCATACAGCACCTCTATACACTGCACCTTTTTCTATCACACATTACTCACACACTGCAGCTGCTCAGCTCACTTCAGTTCAGTGTCTTGCCCAAGGACATTTTGGCATTCAGAATAGAGGAGCTGGGGATTGAACCACTGACCTTCTGGTTAGTAGACGACCCGCCCCACTTTCTGAGCCACAAGTGCAGCTTAATTTGCATTCAGTCCAATTGTAGACATGTAGCAGTTTAGACACACACATTAAAGTATAGATAATAATTTAGATTTGCAATGTCTGGCTGGGGACCTTTCATTTCATTCTCCACCTGTCTTTCCCCTTGTTTTCTATCATCTCTCTGCTGTACACTCCATGCTCGGTACTCTCTGCAAAAAGAAGACATTCAAAAAGCTATAAAAGTAAGCATGTCCATAATGTCGGTAATAATCTCAATCATTGCACTGGAACACCCTGAGTGCACCAAACTACAACAGCCATGATAAGCACAAGAAGATATAAATAACCATCCATTATCTATATCGCTTATCCTTCGAGAGTCGAGGGGCAACCGGAGCCAATCCCAGCTGGAGGTCACAGCATATCGCAGGAACAACATACAGACAGAAACTATTCACTCCCCCTCCTACAAATTCTAATAAATGTAGATTTGGATTTGTTTCCCCTCTCTCCGATACATCTGCAAACATKKATAGTGAAGATGTTGATATCAACATATGCACATGTTTTCACTGAGCTGTCAAATATTGACACATTGAAAGGCCGACTGTGTCATGACTCATGCTGATGATTCATGCTGCATAATATGACTGGAAACATCATGCCTCACACACACCCCCAAAACAGACTGAGTCCGATTGCGTTGGATGCTACTGTTGAGTTTTACAGCTCTGATGGTGCGAAAGCTTTTACATAATGGAGAAATCCATCATAGACAGTTTGTTCTTTCAATCAATTTTACTGTCATATTAATGCTATGTAGTGGTCCTGACCTTCCTGGTTTCAGTTTAATGGCTGAGATCATTCTGTGTGATATAGCTGCACCTAAAGCCATGGGTCTTAATAAGGCTGCATTATTACAGCATTAACTTTTTTTCTAATTAAAATTGGGAGAGTAACACATGAGCAATTATCTCTGGTTCTGTGGCCCTTGGCTGTAGACACAAATGTGGGACGAGACAGTACTCACACACACACACACACACTCAGACACACACTTGCACACATTCATAAAGGGTAACAAGTTTTTCATTGAGTGGGAAAATTTAATAAAAGCCCAAATGATCCTGAAATAAATGGATGAACTTGAGAGACGTAACTGAATCCTCTGGCTTTAAATTGTGTCTGATGGTTTTTGATATCTGTTATTGGATTACAGGCCTTTAACGGTTCATCTTTTAGGAATGATGTGTGTGTGTGTGTGTGTGTGTGTGTGTGTGTGTGTGTGTNGTGTGTGTGTGTGTGTGTGTGTGCGTGCGTGCGTGTGCGTGTGTAGCCTCGTTTGTGCTCATGTCTTTGAACTCATGATACAGTGCTGCTCACACATTCTCAGTCCGGTCACTTTCTCTCTGACAGTATCGGCAGTTCTGTTTGATGAGACCAATTACTGGGAATATACATCAACTACAGAGACACGGACACACACACACACACACAGCTTTATTGCCTGTAGCGGAGCATCACTGAGTTGCAATGTGGTGCTAGTGGAGTCTTGACAGCCTGTGGAAGCCAGAAGAGAAGGAAACACTGCAGAGCTCGACATATACTCCCAGACACATATAATTGAAGACCCTCTCACATAGAGATGAGCCAGAGAGGGAGAAAAAAACAGAGGGAGGAGGGTTGTTAAAGTGCTCTGCAGTTGTGGTAGTGATACTTCATAGAGCCATTAGAACTGGGGGAGTCCATCTGACTTGTAAAACAAAAAGAAACCCACTGAAAAGCAGGTAAATCAAAGTAAATGACACAGTGTTGCTTTAAACAAGTTCTTTTAATATAACCATTCACCACATTAAGCATTTTTACAACATTTCACATCTCTGTGTAGAACAATGTGGATGTTTCAACACAATATAAACACTAGTGGTATAAACCCATTCTGTCCAAAACACAGCCCTCTTGCTTGGTTGTGTTTAATAATTCACAAACCGTTTTTAGATTTTTTTTTGCGGCAGATCATGAAATGTACCTGTGTTTTATCGGCCTTTATGTCTCGGTGCTCCAGGGAACTCTGAGGGAGAACAATGTAGAATTATAGTGCAGCTGACAACCTTCCCTCCGTCCCCATCTCAGAACAAATCATGCACATTTCTCCAGCCTGCATCACAGCAGAAGGCTTTTGATGTCCTCTGTTTCTGCATAAGTGTTTGAGTCGGTTGTGATTGTTACGTGTGACATATGGCTTTGTGTCGATGTGTGTTTGATCTCCAACTGCTGGCAATCAGAGCAGGTGTGTGTGTGTGTGTGTGGATCATCATCTTGTGACCCACAGGGACATATCTGGATGCTCCATGTGCATATGCATGTTCAAACACATCACACACTGATCTATTCATACAAAGTGCTTTGACTTCCTGCAAGTCTTTTTTTTCAATATGCTCTTTTTTGATGAACCTTGTTTTGTGTCTTTCAGGTAAATCCTACACAATGATTGGTCGCGATGACTCTCTTCAGACTCTGGGTATAATCCCCTGTGCCATCTCCTGGCTCTTTAAACTCATCAATGAGAGAAAGGAGAAAACAGGAGCACGCTTCTCTGTTCGTGTCTCTGCAGTCGAGGTCAGTGCCTCCAATAAGACTTCAATTTAAAACGTTCCTGGCAGAGTTTAACTGGTGCCATTACTGATCCAGACAATGAAGGGGGGAGAATACTATCTGTCCCCTTTGGAGACTATAGTGCTAATAGAGGAATGTCAAAGTGTAATATTTTAATTGTTGACTTGCCATCACATGTAATTATTGCACTTTAATAAGCATTGCCTGTATGGTCTGACCACATTTAGTCATAAATCAACTGTGCGTATATGTGCATGTGTGCGTGTGTGTGCGTTTGTGTGTGTGTGTAGGTTTGGGGAAAAGAGGAGAACCTTAAGGACTTGCTGTCTGAAGTGGCCACAGGCAGTTTACAGGATGGACAGTCACCTGGAGTGTACCTGTGTGAGGACCCCATCTGTGGCATGCAGGTACACACACACACACACACACACACACATTTAAACATATTGCAGCTGACATTTACCTTGGTTTATGTTATGTGGCTGAAATAGATTCAATCCTCTATATATATGCACAGCCTCAGGCTTTGTCTTTTTTTAGCCTCAGGCAGTTCTCTGTTGTCTTAGCTACTATGCATGCAGGCACGCACACACACACACACACACACACACACACACACACACACACACACTGGAGCAGCAGATAAAGTTTAAGAGGTTCATAAGCTATTGGGGATGTTTTATCCAAAACTGCATGAAGAATTTATTAAAATATCAGGTCGAAAGCCAGCTAATTCTGTCCGACTTGCTGAGTCAGGATCAAAGAAAAGAATTAACGGACGAGTAACCTGAACTCTTACAGAGAGTGTGAACATATTTTAATTTGGTATTTACTGATGGTTTAATGATCCACATTTATGAGCATTTTTTTAGACAACAAAAGGCTCCTTACACGACCTTCTAATCACAATCACCATCATCAACGTTTTGTTTCATCATAATGTGTGTCTGTGTGGGGGGGGGGGTTATTGTATATGCTTATAGGATTACAGGGTCTGATACAAGCACATCAGTGTAATCCTTAACTAATCTGACATAATCTCATCAGTAATGATAGCCTGCAGTACCACACACACACACAAACACACACACACACGCGCACACACACACACACACACACACACACACACACAACGTCTCTCTCTCTCTCTCTCTCTCTCTCTCTCTCTCTCTCTCTCAGTTGCACTCCCTTTCTCTCTATCCCTCCATCTCTTTCTCCCATACCTATACACAAATAAAAATGCCTTATTGGATTATACCAATAAGTACAATATGATCAGCATCTGGACATATCTACCTCAGTTAAGTTGTCTGTCTTTTTCTTCCCAGCTCCAGAACCAGTCTGAATTGCGTGCTCCGACCCCAGAGAAGGCCGCCTGGTTTCTGGATGCCGCCATAGCAGCTCGTCACAGCAGGCAACACTCCAACACCACAGAGGAAGAGCACAGGAACTCACACATGCTGTTTACCTTACACATATACCAGTATCGTATGGAGAAGACAGGAAAAGGAGGGAGTAAGTACTGTTTGTTTAAACACTGTCATTACTCTCATTACTGTTATTACTGATAACAACAACAATAAACTGTCCTAGCTACTGCACCTCTACTGCGGCAGACACTACACTCAACACTGTTGTTATCATATCACACTTTACCTACTGTAATAATCACTAACATGCTGCTGCTATTAATACATTAATACCTCAAAGCAGCAAAGAGTGGATGTAAACAATAATGAGTGGCAGATCAATCCATTCACCTGTAGTCATTATGGATAAACAAGGAACACAAGCGTCAGAATTCATGACAGAGTTGTAGACAGACCCCTCACACACTGTATGATCCTCATATAGATTCTGTGGTTGGATTAATTCACAGTCACATCACACATTCACTCATGTCTGTCCGAATAACCAAGTGATAATGTAGGGGTGGTTTCTTTGTGTGTTTGACACAGACAGACTGTGACAGATGTCTGATGAAAATATCATTGATAATAATTAGTGTTAGTGCATATGTATGTGTGTGTGTGTGTGTGTGTGTGTGTGTGTGTGTG